GTGGATAACAGAGGGCGATTTGTCCTGCGAGTTATGCTGTTGCAGAAGCAGCATCTGGAAATGAGTGTCTGTGTAGGCGTCTTGCACCAGGGCCTCATTGCCTGCCTTGGTGTGTAACTGAGATGGGAATCTGGCGCTTGGTTATTTGGTGGATTTTTATTTCCACTGTCTGTTCCCTTTTTTGCTTTGCTAAGATGGATAAAGGAAGCCTGGAAGTAGAGCTAGTTGGAAATGGCATTTCCATCCCATAGGAAATGAAAACATTTTAACATTTGCTTTCATCCCAAATTGGGACAAAAAGTCAAAATTTAGAAATATTGCGGGAACAGAAATACTACAAAAATGTCAGTTTGGAAGCATCAAAACGATCTTCTTGAATCATTTTGTTTTGAGAATGTCAAAATAATTCATTTTGAAACATCATGCCAAATATATATTCTTCACAGTAATATTTTCTATTCTAATGTAAACATCTAAATGAAGCGGCAAAGTTGAAATGAAACAAAATGAGAACGTCGAAACAAAAACCTCCATTCTGATTGTGAGTCGTTTTGAAATATTTCTGGCAAAAATGCTGTCAATTGGTACTTTTCTGCAAACATTTTAATTTTTGACAAAAGGGCATTTTCTTAGGGAAAATGTTCCACTGAAAATTTTTCAGCTGGCTCTGTCTGGAAGATTTGCTTTCCAAAATATCCATTCCCCCCCGCCCCCCCTGTTTTCTTTTAAAAATAGAAATACCAAAATTGTCAAGTCTGGGGTCTGCTGGTTTTGCTGAAGGTAATCCTGGGCATCTCAGATGCACGTTGCAAGTTCTTGCACCTTAATGAAAGGGGCAGGGTTATGAAACTTTACCAAAGATGTCCTTTCTATCAAGTGTGTTTTAGGCTTTGGAGTTAAATAGGTATCAGCAAAAACAAATGCAAAACAGAGTTTTAAACAATCTGACTAAAAATAGTTTCCCTCACTGTGGGGTTTGCTCAAGTGATCTAATTTGGAGTCAGTTCTCTTGAGTCAGCCCAGCATGGGTGGGATCAGTGCTGCTGAGAGATCAGACTGGAGTTGCTGTATCATTACTGGTGTGGCACTCATTCATGTGTGGTACGTCCCATGGTTCTCAGAACTGCAGTACGCTGAGCTGCCCTGGAATCCTTTCCCAGTGTATTGTGGGAGAACTCGTCTGTCCCTTCTGTGCACGTGGGCGGAAGTGGTGTGAACCTGGCAACTCCTTCAAGTAAACCACTTCTAGCTTGATGTGCTCCCGATGTCTGTCCGTGGCCTTCGTTCCAGCCGGTGGCAAGGCCTGGATCCAGCTCCTTGACTCATAACGTTGTCTCTTAGGGTTTGCCTACATGCACAAGTTGCACTGGTTTAAGATTTGTCGTCTTAGTGCTGCTGGAAGAATGTTTTTGGTGGAGAGCGCCCACGCTTTGCTGCTTCCGTTCACACATGTGGCGATGCTTGCGTTCGAACGGCGCACTGCACTCGGAGCAGGTATCTGTGCCCTCGCTGCCTTTTTGGAGACGTTTGCTGGGCATGGTGGGATAGCCACAGTGATGACAAGGAAAAGGGCCTTGGGATTCAGTCGGTAGCCTGGGACTCAGGTGATCTGGGTTCTGTTCCCAGCTCCGCCCCGGACTCTCTGCGTGACCCGGAGCCAGTCACCTAGGAGCAGATTTTCAGAAGGGCTCCATGCATTGGATGCTGAGGTCTTTGGACAACCTGGCCCTACATTTCCCACTGTAAGCTGCTCAGAGCTGAGCCCCTCTGAAAACCTGGCCTTTAGTTCGGTGCCCAAGTGGGGAGCTGAGCTCTTTTGAGACTGGCCCCACTTGTGGGCGCAGAACCCTGGAAAACTAACCCCCTGCCCCTGTCCCTGAGCTCAATAAATGAATCTCTCTAGACCTTTAGCTTGCCTTGTCTAGTTAGATTGTAAACTCTGGGGCAGGGAGTCTCTTACTATGGGTATGTACAGCGCCTAGCACAATAGGGCCTCAATCTCATCTAGGCCTCTAGGCGCAGAGTAATAAATAATACTTACGATGATACTGTCTGGTCACAAGCTCTCCTGCGGCCCATAGATTCCTCCAGGGTGGATAAAAGCTAGATTTTTTTGTGGCTGACTTAGAACCTTCTGAAGCCATATTTGTCACCCTCAAGAGGCACAAAAGGGCAGTGGCCCAGTTTGTCTCATGCCATGAAAGTCACCTTTAAATTATTCTCTTCATGGCTGCGGCATCTGGTGCATGAGTTACAGGCCGCTTATGCTGAACTGACAACTGTGGTTGTGCTCTGCTTATGGGAAAAGGGCCAGACTGGAAAGAGCAGGATCGGGTGGGTTAGAGGCAGGAGGAAGGATACAGTAGAGAAATAAAACCTGCCTTAGAGTGAAAGACTCAAAAGACTTCAAGCGAAGGTTGAGGTGGTGGTAGGGATAAGGTAGAGAAAAGAAGGCAAAGGGACGACGTAGTAGAGATACCCTGATCACGTGTTCATGTTCTGTGACTAAGAGAGGGATTTTCGAAATCCCGTAAGGAAACAGCCAATCTGGATTTTAAAATTGCCAGTGACGGAAACCGTTAGTAGATTGTTCCAATGCTTAGTTACGCTCGCTGTTACAAGTGTAACCCTCCTTTCCAGTCTGCGTTTGTCCAGGTTCAACTTCCATTGTCTCCTAGACTGAAGAACCCGTTACCAAATATTTGTTCCCCGTCTAGGTACATATAGATTGGGATCGCCACCCCCTTAACCTTCGCTTCAAGTCTTTGGAGTCTTTCACTCTAAGGCAGGTTTTATTTGTTGGGAATTGTTCTCCTGAAAGGTGGGGAGGGGAAGGGGGAAGGAGCAGGGGGTCTAACTTTCAGGTCTGGGCTTTCTCTGGAGGTGGTCCATTCATCCGAGCTGATCAATGGTGGATTTTCTGCTGGAAATAAAGTTTTTTGGACCAATTCAAGAATGCCGGGGAATAGACACGGTGATTGTAAATGGATTGCGGTCCGTGTGAAACAGTTCAGTGCTCAGACCTTGTGAGTGGCGCTGCGTGCTTCTCACACCTTTAAGGCACTTGCAAGGGAGAGGCCGTGTGCGGTGGTCTCTGGCAAGCGCTGAGGGGCCCAAGAACTCTGCTGGATCAGAGTTGTCCCCCGAGTTCAGGGCGCGCTTAGGTTGGGGGTTCTGGGCCAAACGCTTTAAAGAGAGAGGGCCGAGCCGTGACACTGGAGTCTGGGTCTGGAGCCAAACGGCCCCCGAGGTCGTGGGCGAGCCGATCCCATGTCCCAATTTGGGTCCCTCTCTTTGGTTTGCTACTCAAAGGCACTCAGCAGCTGGTGCTGGGGACGGCAGGGTAGCAGGGAGGCCAGTGGGAAGCTTTCTGCCCTGACCTACCTGCTCAGAGCTGGTTCTGGGGCCCCAGTGTCCATCCCAAGTAGCAGGCTGGGGTTGGAGTAACTCCATGGGGTGGGGACCCCCCAGCTGTGGAGCCACTGAGAGCAGATGCGGCCCAATGGGGAGACACCAGCCTTACACCCGCTTCCCACAGCCAGAGCAGAGACCGCTCCAGCCACGCCCTCTCTCCTCTCCTCTGTGCAGGTGTCTGGGAGGGGACGGTGTGGGCCACCTCCTGGCACCTGGGGAACGCCCTAGGCCGGGGGAGTTCCCGCCGGGGAGGAGCCTTGTGCATTCCAGCCCCTTCCCGCGGCCAGAGAGGCCCTGCCGTGGTTCAGAATGGGGCCCAGCCTGCTTTTCGGGGGTGTAAAAGGCTCCCCAAGGCGCAAAGCGGAAGGAAGACCAAGCCCGGCATCGCAGCCATTGACTATCCGAGCCACTGGGTGTCACCGTTGCACTGTATATCCCGGGGACGTCGCTGATTCTCTGTGCTCCCTGGGGGTGAGGTTTCCAATGGGGCGTAGAGAGCTCCTGTCCTCTGGCCTGCCCCACCGCCTGGCCTCTTGTGGAGGCATTGTGCCGCCACTCTGAGTGGTGGCTTTCGCACCCGTTCTGGGCACGTGCGTGAGGCCCCGGAGAATGGGGTCTCTGTCTGGCTAAGCTAGGGTGACCAGATGTCCCAGTTTTATAGGGACAGTCCCGATTTTTGGGTCTTTTTCTTATATAGGCTCCTATTACCCCCCATCCCCGTCCTGATTTTTCACACTTGCTGTCTGGTCACCCTAGGCTAAGCGCACGGAGACGTGGCCGAGGAGAAACTGGTTAATCATAGAATATCAGGGCTGGAAGGGACCTCAGGAGGTCATCTAGTCCAACCCCCTGCTCAAAGCAGGACCAATCCCCAGGCAGATTTTTGCCCCAAATCTCTAAATGGCCCCCTCAAGGATTGAACTCACAACCCTGGGTTTAGCAGGCCAGTGCTCAAACCAAAACCCCTGGCATCCTGGAGCGGGGTCCTCTGGGGAGCCCTTGGCAAAGTCCAGCAGGCTCAGGTCTGAGGGAGGTTTCCTGCGTCTCTCTGTGACCAGCTATCCCTGGCTAGATTAGGGCGACCAGATGTCCCCATTTTAAACAGACAATCCCGATATTTGGGGTTTTGTCTTATAACGGGGCCTATTGCCCCCACCCCCGTCCCGATTTGTGACACTTGCTGTCTGTCACCCTATGTTAGAGCAGCCCAGCCGAAGATGGCTTAGACCTGGGGCTCAGACACTTAGGCCAGGCCTACACTACAGCCCTGCGTCGCTGTGAAAAATCCACCTCCCTGAGCGACGTCGTTATACCGACCGTATGGACAGCGCTGTGTCGATGGGACAGCTTCTCCGCCTCCGGGGAGGTGGGTTAACTACGCCGACAGCAGAGCTCTCTCCCGTCGTGTCGGAGCCACACGGTGCTGCCCTGAGCTACCGCGACTCTTTGCCCCGGCAGTCTGCAGCTTGCGGCCAGGGCAAATGTGGAAGAGGAAATCCTCAGGGGAAGAGTTGCCCAGATTTTCCCGCATCAAAGCCTTCCCCCGGATCGCCATTTCAAGTGGCGCACGCAACAGGGCATGCCCCATGGCGTCCCGTGAGATCCTGCGATTGGCTTTAAAACAAGGTAGGGGTTTTTTTTTTTTTAAACGTTGGTTTCTTTTTACTTTCCCTCTGACTTTTGAGCCATTGGTGGGTTACATGTTTTCAAGCTTTTCTCTGCAACTTACTTAAAAAAAAAAAACGCTGAGACTCTCTCTCACTCACAAGACTCCAGGAGTTGGGGCTTTAAGGGAAGTGCCAGGTACTGCACGACTCAAAATAGAATTGCAGGAACTGGAGACGCTGCACAAGCCAAACACGGGGTGGCACGCGGTGAGCTCGTGTTTGTCACTGCTTCCTCGCCTTCGAGAGAACAGCCCCGACTGGCACCAGCTGAGGATCTCGCCTTGCATGTTGAGTTGGAAGAAGGGACAGGCGTTCCAAGCAAAAGCACTTCCCATGCTTTGTTTGCCCGCTGGTGTTGCAAGGTTCTGTGAAAAGACTTTTGTTTAATTAGGAAAACCAACGAGCTGCCCCTCCCTTCTGCAGCACCTGCTCCTCTCTGGTCCGTGGGATCCCACTACACTGCATCTGGGGATAAGCACAAGCTGAGAAGGGGTATTCCTCAGGCAGCACTTTGGTTCCAGTTTCCCAGAGAGGATCAGTGATTGGAATGGGATTCTTGCCTGTGATCTCCCCACTCGCTTCTTCTCCTCTCCCAGGACCCAGCCAGACTGTCTCTGCTAAGGAGCTTCGGCAGACAGGGGCGCAGATCTCCAATGTGACCAGCCCCCTCCCAGGTCTCTGGGCTCTCTGCCAGATACTCTGTTTGGTTCCTTGACAGCAGAACCTGAGTCCTTGTGCAGTCATTCGCACCAGTGCAACATGGGTGTAACGCGCAGCTAGATCAGGGGGAGCGTTTGACACCACTTTGCTGGTGTAAACGCCTGGACACGGCAGAATCTGGCCATGCGTTGGTAACCTGCAGCCAGTCCGTTACTCCTGGCCTTGAGCCTTCCTTCTTAAGGGGACCAGCGTCCCCTGGGGTTGCTGCATGATGCTATTGCCTGGGACTGATCATGGGCCCAATTCCCTTTGTCCTGCACCTCGTGTTGTCATTGACGCCAGCACAGCACGGTGACCATTCACGCTGGCGTGAGTGATGGCACCGGGTGTAGGAGGGCCATGGGGAATTGGGCCCCCTTGGGGGGGAGGAAAGTTCAGCATGCCCCAGGGCCAGAGGGCAGAAGGAGCGGCCTGCTGCATTCACAGATCCGGCCGCTTCGCATTCAAGCAGCAGCGTTACCTACCTATCAGGCAGGATGCCTGTGTGTGGTAAAGCCCACGCTGGCCCAGCCGGGACCCAGAACCTCAGCGCCCCTGGGGCATCTGCTCTATTGTTACTCCCCCCCTTTCTCAACCACCCTTCTAGAGCTGTGTGTAGAACTGCACTGGCTGCGTAAGGGAACGTTGCCACCGTCTGGCACCGCAGCTGGGCGGCTAGGTTAGCTCCGACGCCTCACCCATTCAGATGGGGATATTAGGACGAGTCTTGATTGGCACTTTCCCAGTAGGTTGCGCCGAGGCGGAGCTAGGAGGAAGTAGAGTACATGCTCCCCTCCTCGCTAGCTGGGCGCACAGCTGTTCTTCCCAGCTCTGATCAAACCGGCTGGAGCCAACATTCGGTTGCTCCTGTTCTGTTAGTAAACACTGGGCACCTCTGCGACCCAGCCCTCTAGCAGGTGTTAGGACAAGAGCTGAGTAAATGACTGCTTTTGTGATTCGCTGGCTGGCACGGCTGGAGAAAAATGATCTCAGGGGGGCTTGACCATAAACTGTTTGAAATTTTCAGCAAACTGAAAAGTGGGTGGGTGGGTGTAGATAGTTTGGGGTCAAATTAAATCTAATTGTTTTAATGCTGAGGGGTTTTTTTTACATTTTTTTATTGAAGGAAAGCGTGCAAGAAAAAAGTGCTTTTGAATCACAATGTATTTTTTCAAAAAGGTTGGATCATTTTGCCTTTTGTTTTTTGTTTTTCCTGAGCTGAGAAACTCAGCCAAACCAAGACAACTTTGCCAAACGTTTGAGTCACTGAATCTGCATTTTTTTTCCCTGGAAATAAAGACAGCTGACAAATTTCACCAGACACTAGCCAGGCCCCTGTATGGAGCTGCTGAAACTCTCTGCAGCAAAAATATACCCGCAGCAGGCAGTCTCGGAGCCGGGTCTACAGCCTTGGGCTCGCACTGCAGTGCTAGACACAGCTGTGTAGTTGTTCCCATTCGGGCTAAAGCTCAGGATATGATACCCCGGGTGGGGGGTGGGTTTCAGAACCCCAGCTCCAGCCTGAACGGGACAATTTGTAGCACCGTAGTGAAAATCGGAGTCTGTAGCCCCAGGCTCTGAGTTTGCAATATGTGTGACCTGACTGTGGCCAGGCAGAGGGACGGATTGTGGCATACCAGGAGCGTTACCTAGTGGCAGCTGCTCTAAGCTAGGTATACTCAGGTTTGGGAAGTACCAGGAGAGGAGATAAGCCAAGATGCTGTGGGGAAGTGATGCTGGTGAATCGGTAGGAAGTGCCCCTCCTATTGGATGAACACTTGGCCCCACCAAAATCCTTTCTAATTGACTTCATGTCCCCCTCCGCGTCAGGGCTGGACTAATACCCCTGTGGTGGTGTTAGAGGATCTGTCTTTCAGATGAGATGAGAAGCTGGTGCCGACCAACTGCGCTCACCAAGGAGCCGCTGGCACTTTCCCCCCAAGTCGGCACGTTAACCCAAGTGCTGTGGCCAAATTCCAGGGATTCCTCCCAACTCCTCAGTGGTTTCCAGGGGATAACTTCTCTCCTGTTCTGTTGTGGTTTAGAGGTTGCCGGCTGCCACCTTCCACCCCCCAGGTAGCTGCCTCTCAGCAGAAGGTGAAGTGATCTGTGCATACAGATAGATGGAGAGTTTGTAAAGCCTGTTGGCTTCATTGTATTTTTTAAAAATAGTACCGAGTAAATAATAATACTTAGCTCTTTACCTCAGTAGATCTTAAAGCTCTTTACCAAGGAGTTCAGGATCATTATCTCCATTGTAGAAATGGGAAACTGAGGCACGGTGATTTGGCCAAGGTCACCCAGCAGGCCAGAAGCAGGAATAGAACCCAGGTCTCCTGTGTCTCAGGCCTTGGTCCACTAGGCCACGCTGCTGTCTCCCTTCATTTTTATAAAAACAACAAGGAGTCTGGTGGCATCTTAAAGACTAACAGATTTATTTAGGCATAAGCTTTCGTGAGTAAAAACCTCACTTCTTCGGATGCATAAAGATGCATTTTTATAAAACAGGCTGTTAATAGTGCAACCATGGTGGGGGGAAAAGAGCGACAACATTATACCCAGATATAAAAGGGTCTTTCTGTCTGAAAGCTGGTAACTCAAGTGTTAGCCTGAAGAACAGCTTTGTTTCATTCAACCTGCTAATGATAGTCCTTGACACTTCTCTAGTGCCTTTCGTCTGAGGATCTCCCTACACCAACATGAGGGAACAGAACGGGTGCTAGGAGTCAATCTCTGTGACTCTGACTCGCAGCATGACAGTGGGCAACTCACAGCCCTCGCTCTGTGCCTCAGTTTCCCCATAGCTAAAATAGCGAAGATAACCATGATCTGTCTTTTTGTGGGAGTTTTTTTTTTAAACCAACTTCTGTGTCTCTCCTGCTCTCCCCTTCCCCGACCTCAGATCTGTGTGGAAAAGGGAAGAGACAGGTAAGCGGAAACTCGAAGTGCTCAGATGTTTGGAGACTAACTCCTTTGAATTGTCGCAGGCAGGAGCCATCAAAGCACAGATCACGGAGTTCTGTATTGCAGCAGTTTGTGACCGGCCTCACTGGGGGGAGAAATTCACCCCTACACGCAGAGGCCTGGCTCAATGCCTTTGCATCAGTCCTTCTGACGCTGTATTTTTAGGACTTGAGTGATGTACAGGTTTTGTGCTGGGTCTTTGCCCAGGGATGAATTTCATCCTGCTCTGAATAATCAAGCAAACTCCAGTGGCTGGGATAACACCGTTGCCCTGACAATTTCACCAAACTTTCCCGGTTTCCCAACTGCTTCCTCGTTCCACCGAGCTCCAGGGTCCAGATGCCACCATAGCAAAGACGGTTCTGCTAATGCACTCGAACTTGCTAGTGCAAAGATAGCTGCATGGGACAACAAAACAAAACTACCCTTAGGTAGAAGCCTCTGAGAAGTCACGTGGACTGGAGTGTGATGAGTGAACTATAGCCAGTAAGCTAACAAGGACTCCGAAAATGTTTCCCCTTTAATCTGTGACAAACCACAGACCTCAACAGCGGTAACAAAGATCCCGAGGGGCAAATTCTGTCCGTGTGTTATATCTGATGCTTAATGTAGTGTCATCCCCCTTCGCACCCATCCTGCTTGGTAAGATGGTATGAGTCAGTTCTGATATCCCTTATCCAGTAACCCTTTCTTGCCTGTGTTCTCCTGGCATACCAACGACGCTTGATCCTTTTCCTTCTCCATTTCAGGCAACGCCTCTGATTCTGCTCCCTTGTCGTTCCCAGGTGAGATCTTCTTAGAACTGCTTCTGGACAAAGAGTTTTGTACCCAAAAAATGGGGTTTTGCCAAAAATGAATATATTGGGGAGAGTGGAAATGGGGATGAGATTTTGAGTTTTGCTTTGAAAAAAACAAGTGGGTTTAAAATGAAAAATTTGACGAAATTTTTTGCGGAGGTAAAATAAGCGTTTCCTGACCAGAAATATTACTGGAAGCCATGGGGGAATTTTTGCAGCTTCCTGGCCATCTCTGATGGGCAGTGCCATAGAGCTGGGCGGCCGCGGTTCTAGTGAATGACCGACTGATTCGGCAAGGCAAACGGTGTGTCATTTATACAGACGCGTGTTCTATTTCTAATTATTTGACAGATCATTTATGTGTGGCTGATTTCAGCCCAGGAATTATCCATGGATTGGTTTGCTGTGAGTATTAGCAATTTGCTACCTGCACCAGGTGACAGGTCACCCAAGTCACATGATACCATTTCTCTTCTCTCATTGGACGCTTCCCTAACCCAACAAGAGCTTTCAAGATGGCCGAGTGAATGTGTCCGGTGCAGAGATATAGACCTGACCCTTTGCTTCCCACAAACAAATAGAAACCCACTCACCAGAATCAAAGCAAATGCCAGCAAGACAGCAGCCTACTACTGGTATCAACTAATGGAGCTACTCCCTTTGCTTAAGTGGTAGCAATCTGGGATTTGGTGCAGAAGGTCATAGGTTCAAACTCTGCTGATGACCCCTGGTGGGAGTCATGGTGCATTCATTACCTAATTAGGGCTAGTCTGTTGCCTGGTTACTCGCCTCACTGTGACCTTCCTCCTTGCAGAGGTGCGGCTGGTCAATGGGCGCAGCCGGTGCCAGGGGCGTGTGGAGATCCTCTACAATGGCTCCTGGGGGACGGTGTGCGACGACGACTGGGACCTAGTGGACGCCAACGTGGTGTGCCGCCAGCTGGGCTGCGGCCATGCCCTCGCCACGCCGGCCACCCTGACCTTCGGCCACGGGCGGGGGCCCATCTTCTTGGACAACGTGGACTGCCAAGGGAGGGAGGTGGCCCTGAGTGAGTGCGGGAGCCGTGGCTGGGGCATCCACAACTGTTACCACTATGAGGATGTGGCCGTCACGTGTAACGGTAAAAAGGTTTGGTTCCATCCTATGGCGGGGGCAGGGGCAGCGGCAGCGAGGGGGTTACATGACTGACGCCTCTTCAGACCCCCCAGGCAGGGCCCAGCAGCCCCCTTGTCTCATGTCCCTCTTGTGACTGACTCCTAGGATTTCCGGTCGGAGGTCACCCTGGCTTCCTCACCAGGGCCCCCGGGCCCGGCACTGGGCTCTTGGAGGAGATGGTGCCGCGGGGCTGGGCTGTTGGGGATTGGTCATCTGCTACCAGCCACCTGAGCTAGGGTCCAGAACTGAGCAGCACCGGGGCCTGGCTTGGGTTGATTAAACTGACCCTCCCTCCACATCTTTCCCTTTCTGCCGTGCCCTTTGCTCTCACTCTGTCCTGGCCCATGGCTCCACATTCCCCGCTCTGTGACCTCCCTTAGGACCCCTGTGACCAGGGGCTCCCCTCTCAGACCTAGTTAGGGTGATGGGGGCAGGTGCCTGGAGCTGGGCCAGATTTGCAGACAGACGCCGGCCCAGGCCGAGCAGAGAGACAGTGGATTTGTGGTCCCCTAGGAGGTAGGGACTGGTTGATTGAGGAAGGCGTCCAGCCTTGATTGGAGGAAAGGGGCTGATCTGGAGGGAAAGGGGTGATGCGTTTCAGGATGCAGCTGTGAAGGGGGGTGGGAGGAGCTGGTCGGGAGGTGCGCTCAGGCCGGCTGTTGAGGAGGAGATCTCTGGAGGCTTGGTGGGTTGATCCGGCTGCTGAGTGTCCAGGCTGAAGTGCTCTGCTCAGGCCATTGGAGGTTTGTCCATCGCTGTTCATAGCCGGGATGCTGATGAGAGGGAGGCAGAGTGGAAAAATTCCCAGTACGTTGGGAGGGGGCTCCCAGGGGGCAGGGCCGGCTTTTGACCCAGAGCAAAATGTTACCCTGCTGGCCGGTGAACGCAGCGATGGGGGTGACGCTGCCCTGTCCGGGGCTCCTCCCTCCCGCCCGGACTGAGCTCAAAGACACAGACGTGGGGGCTGCTCCGCTAATAACGACCAGCCCTCCAGCTAGCCTGGCCTGCAAGGAAAAAATGACCCTTCCCTCTAGCACTCAGCATTACAGACGGGTCTGAACAGCGCTTAGCCTGTCCGCATCACTTTGCAAACAGGGACCAATCCCCAGCAGCAGGACTGAGTGTCATTGTCCTCAGTTTCCCCCGCAGAGCGGTGAGGTGACTCCCCCAAGAGTGGTCCGGGTCAGAGGCAGGATTAGAACTCGGGTTCTTTGCTCAACGTTGCCGGCTCTCGCAGGGTGATCGCGAGTCTCCTGATATTTGCCGTTTTTCTAGCCGGCGCATCAGCGTGTGTGAACGTCGCTGCTCTCCCCTGGGCTCCGGAGGCTGGGGCGGCGTATCCAGCGGGTGTATTTATTACGGGGCGGGTGGGAAAGGAAAATGAGTAAAGCCACCCTGACACCCAGACCTGCCTCCGGCTCTCTTTGCAGAGCTCTCCCCCACCCGGGCAAGCAAAGGACCAGCGAGCAGAACCGCCACAGCCACCCTGCCGAACGGGAAGAGTAAGCATGTCGGAGATCGGCTTCTCACGCCTCACATTCCCTCCCTGCCTCCTACTCACCCTTCGAAGCCCTCTTTGTCTGGCGTCTTTCCGCTGGAGGCCAGGCCAGGGCGCCCAAGCAGGGCATGTAGACTCTCCCCATCCCTTTCCCCCAGGTGTGGGCCAGCTCCCCCACTGAGAGCAGAAGAGGCAGGCGAGACCAAGGCCAAGGATGACCCCAGTGGGTTACTGAGGTCCCTGCATTGCCGTGGGGCTGCTGCGTAGAGCAGGGGCTGTCCAGAGCGGGTCTCCCAGTTTGGGGACGGGACATCCCAACTCCATGGGCTGCTTTTGCTGCCATGTGCAAAGTCGCGTCTCACTTGCTGCTCCCCGTCCCCTCTAAGCCTCCTTCGGCACGGCCTGCTCCTGTCGCTCCCGTGCGATCCCGCTCGGTGCTCTGCCCGCCCCGGGGAAAGCTCTGACACTCACCCCATCTGCCCTCGCGCAGGCGATGGCAGCGTTCGGCTGGTGAGCGGCGCCGACCCCTGCCGGGGCAGGGTGGAGATCTTCTACCAAGGGACCTGGGGCACGGTGTGCGACGACGACTGGGGCATGAGCGACGCCAGCGTGGTGTGCAGGCAGGCGGGCTGCGGCCGCGCAGTGACACACAAGAGCAACGCCTACTTCGGCTACGGCACGGGGCGCATCCTGTTGGACAACGTGAACTGCGAGGGCAGCGAGCCCCGCCTCTCGGCCTGCTACAGCCTGGGCTGGGGGATCCACAACTGCGGGCACCACGAGGACGCGGGCGTCATCTGCACAGGTAAGGGAGCAAAGCCTCCTGGGAACGGCCACCCTCTTGGCTGCCCTGCCGGGGATGGGACTGAGGCGCAAGCCACGGCCTGTGTGGATTGGGCGCGGAGGGGGCCATGCTGATTGGAGGATTACCGCCTTCCCCACAAGCATCTGAGCCATGACAGTGCAAGCCCTGGATAAGCCTTGATCGATGCGATGGCTGCCTCCTTGGCCGGCATCAAGACCAGCCCGCCAGAGCAGAATGTCTGAGTCTCTACAGGTAGATCCAGCCCCATGGGGGGAAGGGGCAGGGCCGCAGTAGAATCAGACCCTCTGTAAATTGGCTATGGAGAGGAGTGAGTAGCACACAGCGAGCCATGGGTTACGTCCCTGATCACTGCTACTGCTCAGGGCTGTGCTAAACAACCCTACTCTGCTTCCTGCACTCATGACGCATTGGAGCAAAATTGTGCAGGGCTGAGTATTTTAACCGTGGCTTCCAGTCGCACGGGCGCGTGCATCGGCACCCACAAGGGTGGCTGTGCAAGCTGCTACAAGCCAGCCCCCCCGTCGTCCGTCCTGAGGGAGCGCTAGCTGACTTCAGCCCTGCCCCTGGGATGAGTGGTTGCTGGAGTACCATGCCCAATACCTCTGCTGGAGCATGTGCGCTGTGAGAGCACAGACAGCACGCTCCGGGTCGCACTGCGCACAGCTCTGTTGTGAACGCTACGGATGCAGCACACGCTCTGCGTTGTGCCGTGGGTGCCCTCTGTTATTAGTCGTCGTCTCTCTGCCGCTCTCTTTCCGCTCGGACCCGCAGCCTCGCTTGGTCTGTCCAATCTTGTTAAGAGAAACATTTCCAAGCCCCAGAAACCAGCAGTGAATCCATGCCAACGTCTTCAGACCCAATGTTCCCTTTGCGCCACTTTCTCCCTTGTAGACTGGAGGCTCCTGGGGGAAGGGGCTGTCCGCAGGTGCGAATATCAGCACTATACACAGAGACGTGGGATCTAAATCCAATGATGCCAACCCAGGGGGAGGAGCAGTTTTGTGGCAAGCCCGGGACTGCAGGAAGTCGAATAGCCTTGGGAGCTGGGCAGAGAGGTGGCAAATGGAGATGAATGGGAAGGGTGAAGTGCTAGCCCGGGGAGAGTAGCTCTGGCAGCAGAAGAACTATTAGGCTGAATGGAACAGAACTACGAGCGACTAATGTGGGGTAGGGAATCGGGATCATAACGCCAGAGAAGTTGGAGTCTGGTGTTACTCCTGGGGGAATTCTGCGACACTGCATGTGCGCAGAATTTATGTCCCCTGCAGATTTCTTTGCTTCCCCCCAGAAAAATTACTCCTGACAGGAAGCCGCAAGAGTGGTCACGCAGCGCAGGCAGGTTGGTTCGGGCGCCTGGCGCAGCTGGTAGAGACATAAATCACCACCAAGGGGGGAAGGGGGCTTGGCAGTCGTGCGAGTGAGAGACACTCTGTCTCTCTTCCTTGCTATTGCAGCACGCTTGGTGTGGAGGGGCAAGGCTTCAGGGTGTTTCTGAGGAGGGAGGCATGGGGCAGAGCAGAATGTAGCAGCCTGCCTGCTTAGTGAATTGTTCCCATTGTCTTTGTGAATTCCTCCAGGAGTATAAAACAGGTGTAAAAGTTTTAAGGCTCCTTCATATTGCCAGAGTGGTGTAAGGACAGTCTGGCCTTATAAATGCTTATGGTGCTTTAGTGATTAGAACTGGTCTAAGTTTTTGGACTGAAAAAAATTCCTATCAAAATGTGCTCCATGAACTGTTTGCTACTGACCTTTCTGGAGATGGTCAGTAGCCAATATAAATTGTGCTTTTGATTCCCCAGCCCTTACTTGCTTTTCAGTTGCCTATGATGTAACCCTGAGCATATGGCTGCATATATTGACTAATAACTAGAAATAAACGGTCAAACTTAGCTACGTTATTATTACGCAAGGTGGTTTGAAGATTTCCTCCAATGCTCCCCACTCCATTCTCCATCCATTGTATTGTAGTTTAAATAAATTACTGAAATAATTGAAACCAGGGTGATTATACTGCATTATTTTGACAAATAAAATATGCAGAGTTTGGCAGAATTTTAAAATATTCTGCACAGAATTTTTAATTTTTGGGGGCAGAATTTTTAATTTTTTTGGTGCAGAATTCCCCAGGAGTACTGGTGTGTAGCAGCCACTGGAAAGGAACTGAGATGTTGCCATAACATGACCTGGAGCCAGGGTGCTGATAACGCCCCTGCGCTGAGTCTAACGGCTCAGTCCTGAAATCAACCAGAGCTCTGCCACCGAAGGCAGTGACAGCCGGCTGGTGAGGCGGCTTAGGGCTCTTGTGAGTGGTTCTGGTGACCAAGGAAGGGCGCAACGGGTCCGACCAGGAGGAAAGCTGAGTGGCTGCAAACCTGCTCGGCCTTGGAGAAAACGGAGAGCTGAATGTGATGCAGGGAAAAGGGGGCAAATCTCTTGACAGTTGGCCAGAGCGAAGGCTCAAGCCACAAAGCTCTGCAGGTGGGTTTGAACCCCGGACCACCTCAGGGAACCCAAATCACCCAGGCCCAGCATGGTTTTGACCCTCCTCAAAGGGAATGAAATGCAGTTGGCGCTACACACTGAGCATGCTCTAAATGCACTGATGGGACGGGCATGCCTGAAAGAGCTCCTTGTGGGCCTCCCCTAAGTGCCCCCCATTTATCTAAGCCCAGATCAACACTACAGCGTTAGGTCCACGCAAGGCAGATCGATTTCAGTGTCTACACTAACATTTCACTCCTGTTGCTGTAATTCGCCCGCTACCCCGACTTAATAACTCCACTTCCCTGAGCGGTGTAGTGACGCGGTCGACACAGTGTCGGTGTGGACGCCGCCTTCCTTACAGCGACTGTTGCTGGCTTTCAGACCCGCCCCACAATGCCCCATACGGACAGCTCAGTTGGTGCAAGCGCTCCCGGTGAGGCCGCGTACGGCCGACGCAAGGAGGAAAGTGTAGACGTGGAAGCAATGTAATTACTGTGGGCCAACCTAAGTTTGGCCAACTTAATTGTGTAGTGTAGACGTGCCCTAAGTTACTTACATGCCTTCCAGTGCCACAGGATCTGATGGCCGTACAATCTCTAATGTACCCCACAGCACCCTGGAGAGGCAGGGTAGGGCTGTTATCCCCATTACACGGATGGGGAACTAAGGCACAGAGAGGTTAAGTGATTTGCCCAAGGTCACACAGGAAGTCTGTGGCGGAGCAGGGACTTGAAAGTAGGGCTCACAAGGCCTAGGGGACTAGCCACTGGACCATCCTTCCTCATTAGCTGCTAGGCTGAAACCCAGGAGATGGATAAAACACAATGGAGAGAGGCTGGGACTAGTCTGAGCAGCAACTTGCAAGGGAAATGACTCTGGCTGCCTGCGATTTCCTGGCGCTGGTGGAAAACAAGCTGCCTTGGTCAGGAAGTGGAGTGATTGGCTGTCAGCTGCTGGGCACTCAGCCATCCCCGGCCTCCCTTTCTCGTCCCCTCTTTCAATTCTGTATCTCTGTTGATTACCATTTATAATGTTAATAATCCCCTTGAATTCCCTCATTATCGCAGCTAATGACTGGAGCACTAAGTGCCGTCACTTTCGCTTCCCAGTGATTAACTAACAAAGAGGCTGATGGGTGCAAAATGAGTAATTTTCTCAGGCTGTTCTTTTCTTGCCTAACTAGCCATTGTCCTGCAAGCCGGGGAGATGGAAACGCTGGCCCGGGGAGCCTCGGTGAGATGGCTTGTATGGGGTGGGCGCTGTTCTGAATGGGAGCAGCGGGTCTACAGAGTGGGTGAGGCCCAGCTGGGAGAACCGAACCTCTAGGGGAGATCGGCGGCAAGGCGAGAGAGGGGGCCTTGGTCCTGGCCCGCTGGGTGGAGTGAGACGTCTAGGCAGAATGGGCTGGAGCGCTGTGGTGTGAGCGGTGCGCTGTACCTGGGCCTAGCCACCGTCACGGCCAAGCCCGGTCAGGTGCTACAATATTAGAGTTGCCAGGTGTCCGGTTTTCAACCGGAACATCCAGTCAAAAAGGGACTCTGGTGGCTCCGGTCAGCACCGCTGACCAGGCCGTTAAAAGACCGCAGCGCCAGTGGGGCAGGCAGGCTCCTTAGCCGCGCGGCTCCCGGGAAGCTGCCAACATGTCCCTCCGGCTCCTAACAGAGGGGCAGCCACGGGGACTCTGCGTGCTGCACCCACCCCAAGCCCTGGATCCGCAGCTTCCATTGGCCAGGAACCGCAGCCAATGGGAGCTGCGGGGGCGGCACCTGCAGTCTGGGGCAGCGCATGGAGCCACCTGGCCGAAGCCTGCACCCCAAACCCCTGCCCCAGCTCTGAGCCCCCTCCCACGCACCGATCCCCTTGGCCCCAGTCCCCTCCTACACCCCAAACCCCTCATCCCTGGCCCCATCCCAGAGCTCGCACTCCCAGCCAGAGCCCTCACCCCCACGCACACACACCTCAACCCCCTGCCCCAGCCTGGAGCCCCCTCCCGCACCCTGAACCCCTCACTTCTGAGGCCACCCTAGAACCTGCACCTCCAGCCCAGAGGCCTCACTCCCTGCCTCAGTCCCCTCCCACACTCCCAACCCCTTGGCCCCATCCCGGATCCCGCACCCCAACCCCCTGCCCCAGCCCGGTGACTATGAGCGAGCGAGTGAGGGCGGGGCAAAGCGAGCGATGGGGGGGGGGAATGGAGTGAGTGGGGGCGGAGCCTCAGGGAAGGGGCGGGGCAGGGGGCAGGGCAAGGGTATTCGGTTTTGTGCAATTAGAAAGTTGGCAGCCCGATGCTACATGGAGGCCTGCGTGCCGGGATGGCTCATCATATCCGCTGCACCTCAGTACTAACGGGGGGCGTCGGTTGTAATTTGTGCCCTTTCGTGCCAGCTAGAAGGAGTTCCTGGGCACCTGGCAGCTGGCCCTGTGCTGGGCAGCATGTGGCTACCCTGAGCCTCCAAGCAGCATGGTTTGGTAGCCAGCCCACGTCTCGCTTCGCTGTGCTCAATGCCTCTGGCTTCCCCTGGGAAACGGGTGAGGAAGGTGGACCCCAACATGCCAGCCACGCTCCACCAGGGTGGCAGCAGGACAGGTTCACCCGCTTCCTTTCCAGCCGCGGGCCCAGCTCGCCGCAGCCCACCTCGTTCTCACTGGTAGGGAAGGACGACTGGGTACGCGGCTGAGATGGGAACTCGGCGGGTTGAGTGGGGGATCTCCAGAGCTGAAGACACGAGTCTCTCTAGGTTGAGCTAACGCACCAGACTAGCCGGCTGTAACACACCCATAGCCTCCGGGGATCTGGAGAACGGGGCCTGGCAGAGTTCAACTTTTTTTTTTTTTGACGCTATTGACTCATAATATGGATGTTTATTGTAAAATTTGTATTTATTGAAATTTGCCCAAAATGATGGCTTTTAAGCATTCTTTACATTTTGATCAATTTGAACGTTCACAGTTGTGGGAAATTACTGGGGTCAGTCAATAGGAGGGGGCCGGATAATTGTTTAATGACAGAAAAGGTTGAGATTCCAAAGGTTAAAAGCTTTGTAACCGTTCGCACACAAATTGTCAATGTCACTGGTCAAAATATACAAAGAAAATAGCCTTAAATCAAACTCTACTAAGTCCTCAACTGGCATGTTTTGTACAAGTTGAACCTCTCTAGTCTGGCACCCTCGGGACCTGACCGGTGCCAAACCACAGAAGTCAATGCAGAGTGCCAGCGGGTCTCCATAGGCACGGGAAATAAGGGTGCGGGGGGTGCTGCAACATCCCCAGGCTTTGCACCCAATGTGGCCCCCCACCTGGGGGCTCTGATGCTGGCCCCAGGTCCCAGCCACCAGCCCCTTGCTCAAGATCCCAACCGCCAGCCCCAGGTCCTCCCCCTCCCTCCTGGAGCTCGAATGCTGTGAATCAGCTGTTTGCGGTGCTCTGGAAGCGCTGGGAGGGAGGAGGAGGAGTTGGTAAGCAGGGGGCCGCCAGCATGTGAGAGGCACGGTGGGAGGGGGCAGAGGGGGGAGCTTGGCGCTGGTGGATGCTCCGTACCCACTAATTATTTCCCGTGTGTGCTCCAGCCCCGGAGAACCCATGGAGTCGGCGCCTCTGCCGGACCACGCATGTTGCCGGCCCATGGAGCGCCGGATTAGAGAGGTCCAACCTGTACTTTCCCAGTCTGTCCGCTTCAATTACTATTGACGGAAATATTTTTTCAGCGGTTTGGGCATGTACGGGGAAATGGATGTTTACTGACATTTACCGATAAAAATCGAATCCTTCCAATCCTTCGTATAACAGACACTGATCCCAACCCGTGGGTTACCTAGGTGCATTTTGCAGGGCACTAAGCTCTGAACACATGTTCCCAAGGCACCAGCCAGTGTGAAGGAGGAGCTGCTAAGTGCGCGGCTGGAGGAGTGAAGAATGATTGACACGTGTCTCTCTGTTCTCTGGACGGGCTCCCTTCTGGCTGCCCATCCTCTCACAATGACTCAGTGCAAACAAAGTTACGGCCGCTGGTCATGTGGCCTCTGCCTCTACGTGTGTCTCCGCAGGGCTGCGGGTTTCGACGGTGGCACCATTCACCACCTTGGCTGCCCGGGTCTACGGAGAGTCATTCACTGCCACTGCCACAGGTAAGGCCAACGTGGCCCGTTCCCGCATCCGGAGGGACGATGCGTGCGGAGACCTACAGCACCAAGGCTAGTGCATTGATCATAGCAGCTGCCCCATAACATTGTCCTGTGGAGGACACAGCTGTGATCCGAACCGGCTCGCTATCCTTCCTGGCCCAGCCACCCGTACTGGGGAAGCAGGGTTCTGATCCCCCGTCCCGGGTTTTCGCCTCGCCTTCTCCTTTGGAGTCATCAGGAGAGACGCTGGGTGGCCTAGAGACACGGCTACCAAGAATTCAGCACAGTCCAGAGGGCTGCACAGGTCATGCCGGGCTTCGCTCCATCCACAGCACTGGGTGGGTTCCTTCCCGGGGCCCAGCAGCAGGATCACAGGGGCTGCCAACATCTCCAGGTCCCTAAACGCCTGCTAGTGGGATGCTCGCTGCACAGCTCTCCCCGGGGGCACTGCGCTCTGATTTTGTTGCTACAGCCACTTATGGCGTCCCAGGGTGACCCGTGATGCCGGGGAATGAGGCACTTGTGGGTGAAATTCACCAAGGTCCCGCTTCAACGCATAGGGTGATGCCTTGCACAAAGAACTGCCCCCCATAGGGTCTAAATGGGCCTGCTTCTCATCAGTCCAGCCTTTCCCCTGAACTCCCACCCTCCTAATGCCGCTGCTTGTCCTTGCAGTGACGGATGCCGGAGATCAGCCCTCGCCGGAGACTGAAGTGATCACGGCGGCCCTTCTGGCCGCGGGCAAGAGAAGTAAGTGTGCGCGTTCCCCGCAGGCGGGCGTTGGCTCGGGACGGCCCAGAGATTCCCCGCAAAGCCAAGGCAGCCACACGGCTCGCCTGCCAAGGCTCGAATGAAAGCCTCAAGGGCTCCCGGTTCTCCGTCGCAGCCCCTGCTCAACCACATGGAGCACGTTGCGCCATTTATATAGTGGCGTAGCCGGTAGAAACTACGAGTCCCAGCAATGCCATGCTCTACCTTGAGCCTAAAAGGGAGCACGGCATGCTGGGACCTGTACTCTCCCTGGGCCCTACCTCCTATCAAAGATGAGGGCAACTGCTGCAGAGCACCGGGCTGCACCGGGCACATGACTGTATCCCTCCCCACCACCTGCCTCAACCAGAATCTCTCGACTTTCCGGCCTTCCACGTCACCTTTGCTCTCCGGGTCTGACCAACAGGTGGCAGCATCCGGCTGGCGAACGGGAACAGCAGCTGCCAAGGCCGGGTGGAGGTTCTGTACCGCGGCACCTGGGGCACGGTGTGTGACGACGACTGGAGTTTCACCAACGCCCAGGTGGTCTGCCGGCAGATGGGCTGCGGGGTGGCAGTGGCGGCCACCGTCCTGGGCTCTTTTGGTTACGGCACTGGGCCCATTCTTCTGGACAACGTGGATTGTGTCGGCCGGGAGGCTGACCTGGCGAATTGCTTTCACCTGGGCTGGGGGCAGCACAACTGTGGGCACCATGAGGATGCCGGCGTCATCTGCAGAGGTGAGATACGTGTGGGTGCTCCATACAGCACATCCTACCCTGCCCCAAGCAGTACGCAGGGTTCCAAGCTCCCTCCAAAGCTAGCCAGATCTGGGACCACCCCTAGGGCGTGCCACCAGCAGCCGGCCTCAGCATGCCTTGGGACGGAATTAATGGGCCCCAGAGAGTGCCATCTGAGTCCCTGCAGCCTCCCAGGTGCGCCGTCTGAACTGGGAACCTGGATTCCAGCCACTCGAGCGGGAGATGGGCCACACGGGGTGTTTGGAGCACATCGTATTTAGTCCGGGGCTCGGGGTTTCGTTCAGGCTGGAATTGGAAGGGGCTGGGCTTTCCGTGAGACTCCAGCCCAGCTTGGTGGAATCCCATGAGACTCCGGGGGAATTTCAGACTCGCCCTCCTGCTTCTGGATTCCCCCAGAACCAAAACCTTAGGATCAGGTTCAGATGGGGGTTTTCAAATCCAAGCTCCCAGAACTTCAGAGGGTTCAGGTCTGAGGTGCTAGTTTTGGCCCAAGCGGGTCCCCATTTCCAGACTGGCATCCACTGGGGAACGGGATGCTGTCATTAAACGTGACCGATCAGGCCTTCAGCCTCCCCTGTGAATTCCAGTGCCTGCTTTCAGGGGACGTTTGCCCTTCCTCTGTTTCCTAAACGCACCACACCTCTGCAATCTGCAGCGCGTCTCCTCTCCCCGCCTATCTGTCTGGGTCTACCTCGCTCCAGCCCAGTCACTCACGCTCCACGACATCTGCCCCCGAGCTGGAGACCAGAGATGTCTGATCATTGTTCTTTCCATCCATCCTTTGCTGGAGCAGGTGTGGACGAGTCCGGAGATCATTTCAGAGAAGATGCTTTTGCGACCGCCACCTCAGCCACAACCCGTCCCAAGGACGGTAGGTACCCCGTGGGGCCAGCAGCACCCCCCAAACCATCTTCAGGCAGCCATAGGGCTCCTCCCAGAGAAACCCCCGGGGGCCAGTGTTTGGCAGAGAAGCCAGAGACGAAGGCAGCTGAGGGCTGGTTTAGATCATGCCTGGTCCTGCCTTGAATGCAGGGGATTGGACTAGAAGACCTCTCGAGGTCCTTTCCGGTCCTGTGAGTTTGATTCTATGATACCGCCTGTGGCATTGGCTGAAACGTCGATCAGAAGTGCTACCACAGCACAGGGATAGCAGGCATCATATGGTTGACTCCCTCCCACGGTGTCTGTCATCGGTGGATCTCAAAGCACCTTTACTGTAGCCCAGGGGTGGGCAAACTTTTTGGCCCGAGGGCCACATCTGGGAATGGAAATTTTATGGCGGGCCATGAATGTTCACGAAATTGGGGGTTGGGGTGCAGGAGGGAGTGAGGGCTCTGGCTGGGTGTACGGGCTCTGAGGTGGGGACAGAAATGAGTTCAGGGTGTGGGAAGGGGCTCCGGGCTGGGGCAGGGGGTTGGGGTGCGGGCGGGGGGGTGAGGGCTCTGGATGGGGGTGCGGGGTCTGGGGTGCAGGAGGGTGGGACCGAGGGGTTCAGGGGGTGGGAGGGGGCTCTGGGCTGGGGCAGGGGGTTGGGGTGTGGGCGGGGGGGTAAGGGCTCTGGATGGGGGTGCAGGTTCTGGGGTGCAGGAGGGTGGGACCAAGGGGTTCAGGGGGTGGGAGGGGGCTCTGGGATGG